GGTCCAGGGGCTGCCCCTTTTGGGGGGGGGCTCCAGAAAGGTGGGGGCGAGAAGCGTCCTTCTGCCTCCCATTCCCTTCGCGGTGTGGGGGGGTTAGGAGGGAGGAGCCCCTCTCTTTTGGGGTCCTGGCTGGAAGGCCCCCCCTGACCTGACCTCCACCTCTCTCTCTTCCCAGGGAGTCCAAAGAGCCCCCCCCAAGGACGATCATCTCTCACCCCCCCTCTGTTTTCCCTGCAGCTTTTAAGGGGGGGGAAGGACATCCCCAAGCCTGTTTCCTCATTCCCAGTTTAAACACTTTTTTATTTTTAGTTACCCTTTTTAGGCCGGTTTAGGGGGTTGAGGAGCTTCCTCCCTCCTCATCGTCACGGGGGCCATGCAGGCAAGGATGCCTTGAGAGAGAGAGGCGTGTGTGTTTTGTGGGTCAGCGTTTTAATATTGTAAGCCCTTTTGGGGCAATAACCTGCCTGTTTTGCAGACACACTCTAATAAGAAGTGCTTTATACTCACTGAGGTGGTATATATATAATTACAGGAGGGCTAGACTTAAAGGGATTGACGAGCTTCGCTTTTTTGAAGGCTCAGGTTTCCCACCCACGGAAGAACCACATTGAGACACAAAATGATAACAATTGTGTGCCATCAGTTCTGATGTACGGCAACCCTTTTTCAAGGTTTTCCAGGTAGAGAATACTCCAAAGTGGTTTACTCTTCTTGTTTTTTGGCACCCTGAGACTCTCCAGCTGTCCCAAGGCCACCCAGGCTGGCTGTTCTCCCAGGAGGCACACTGGGGAATTGAACTCTCAACCTCATTCACTGAGCGACCTAGCCGTCGAGACACAAAATACTGTTCTTTTAAGTTGTTCCTAGTGCTCCACAGATTTTAATCTTCTAACATTTTTGGACGATGTTTCAGCATGATACACACATTGCTGGGTGCTGAAGGCCCTCATTGGCTTTTCCTAGTTGAAAATTTAATCCCCTCAACATAGTCCAATAATAAAGTCCCAGCATTTTTCTTCATTTGCCATGCTAGCTAAGGTGGAAGGCCATCACAGTTCATCAGACTTTGGAGAACTGCAAATTGTCCAACTTTGGTATAAGGCCAGGGTACACACAATGGTTACATGCACTGCTGGCATAGGACTTTCATTATAAAAAATACTAAAAAGTCTCTATTAATCTTCATGTTATCTGCTAAGTGAGGTGTGCTATCTGTTTCTGACTCCAGTCTACCTGTCTCAGTTTATACAGGTGTGACTTTTTGAATGTTAGCAGTCACAAAAGGTGTCTTAAGGTTTCAGGTCCATAGTAGTCTTGAACCAAGCTGCTATGCCATGAGGAGGCTAAACTAAAATGATATTATAAAGCCCATCTAGGCCAGTCTGTCTCAGGACTCAGGCTTGTTCCACTTTGGAAACTCAGTGTATCTCCTAACCCAGAAAAAAATCTTTACAAAAGAATGCCTATAAGCACATATGATTGTCCTCAGGAAAAGTTGGGTTTTTTTAAATGATGTGATTGATGAAACACAAGAAGCCTAAGTTGGAGAAATGCTGAGATATGAATGTGACCTCTCAGTGCTCCACTACTGCTATAGCTCTGCATTACCTCTTCATGCCTTGCATTCTTCATTAATATGGAATTTAAACCAATAAAGAGATCTGAGGAGGTAAGTGGATGCAAGGAAAAAATACTTCATCCTCCCAACTTTCAAATAGCATGTCCACAGATTTTTCCATCAATCTGAGAACCACTATGATGTGCAGGGGATGCAAGGCTGATCTAGGGACATTGAAGGTCAAATCGGTAGTCAGCCCAGAGGCTCACTGGGTACCTGGGCTAGTTTCAATACCACTGCATGCTTGCTCTTTTAAAAGGTGGGATGGAGGGGGAGGAAACATGTATATATCACACGGTTCCTTGTAGAAATGAGGTGATCATGTTGACCTCCCATGATATGTCAGTTTCCTCCCTTACATTCTTTCATTTTCTCTCCTAGTGTCTATTAAAGATCAGAAACTCATGGATGTTAAACTGGGGCAGCTGCCATCCTGGTTGGCAGCACGAGATTTCAGCCTAAAAGGGATTGTGTATGGTTCCATAGCAAGTGAGTATTTGGGAGGTGACTAGGTTTATTGTACCTGTTGTTATAAAGCATCTTACACATGAGTAATGAAATCGCTTTCCATGCACATCCACCGGCCCCCAAGCTTGTGGTATCCATCATTCACAGCCACAGTGGCCAGGGCTATTATGGGTAAAGATTGTGGGAATTGCTAGTCCCATAATTTGGAGGGCACCATTTTGGAGAAAGCTGCAGTAGATAATGCTTCAGGTATTGGTCTTATGGTAATCTGAGAGTAATTCTATTGATATTGCTTCTTCTGGGCAAACTTTATTATTTTATTTTATTTTATTTCTATGCCGCCCACTCTACCCAGAGGTCTCTGGGCGGCTCACAACAACTTTCTACATTGAATTGCCATTTCATTAACATATGTTATTTGAGGCTTTATAGCTATTTATAAACTACCCAGAGGTCTCTGGGCGACTCACAACTTTCTACATTGAATTGCCATTTTATTAACATATGTTATTTGAGGCTTTGTAGCTATTTATAAATTCATTTGTTTAAGGGATTTATACCGTGCTCCTCTTCAGTAAAATTCCCACAGTGTCCTACAAAACTCAGGGGTGGGGTGGGGACACCCACAGTTATATGCTAAAATGGTGACAGGAATCAATAGCTGTTTGAAAATCAGAAGCCAGAACCTGTGAATATCTTCTTACACAGCACCACGTAAAGCTTTTCTCTGTGAAAGGCAGCAGGAAAAGAGGAATCAAGACCAATTACAAGATGGGCCGACTCCCTAAAGCCACAGGCTTAGGTTTTCAAGAACTAAGCAGGGTAGTTGACAGGACATGTTGGAGATCACTCATTCATAGGATTTCAGGCAGGGCTTTCTTGCTTCGGCAGAGATTTTTTTCAGTCACGGAGGAAAGAGGAGAACGGGAGAGTACAGTGACAATTCACTCTTTTGGAGACGCATTCTGGCTTTGATTCCTTCTGCCATGTCATGAAGCCAATGTTTTAATGTGTCCATTTTAAATCTTCAAGCTTGGTCAGTATTCATTGGCTGTGTACTTTTCCACTCTAGTTAAGGAGAGATTTTTCGCGAAGTACATCCATGTGAAGAATATGGGCATTGGTGGTATTTCCATGCTTCTGACAGGCTACGTGATCATGAGCTACATGTGGTCCTATCCCCATATTAGTAAGTAAAATCTGGCTTTTTGTATGCTTGTGAACTGTCTTCTCAGAGGGCATTGGTTAAATAATCATAAGTTAGAGTAGGATTGGAAGGACAACCCCCCCCCATACACTTATGCTGCAGCTACCAACAGAATTGTGGGAGCTGGTGAATCCCATATTCCCCATTCTTACGTAAGCACACACATTCTGGTGATGGTGTTTTAATGGATGAAATGACCAGTTTTTAATGCCCAGAACTTTAGGCTACCATTTTGTGCTTTAAAATATATTTTTAAATGTCACGGTTAATTAATTGAATTTTCAGGGTGTTTCTGAATGCATGGTGTTGGGACAAAAAATGGGAGCTGGATTGCATTCATGCTCCTAAGCTTCCTAGATTCAATTGGTCAGCTGCAGCTTAAAAATAAATATGGGTGTACTGTTTATTTCAGTCGAACTGTTCTCTTCACTTTGTGGTTAAATTCTTCAGTTACTAGTAATTTGATACAGTTAATGGTGTCACCTATATCACAAGACACATTAACTTCCGATCAATTCAAATTCCAGGCAGTAATTAATCAGGAGCCAGATCTAAAGTACCCTCCTTACAATATTTGGTTCATGTCCTTGTTTAGGAATCCTGTAAACTTCCTTCCCTAAGAGTTTTATTAAAAGTAACTTGTAGCATTTTTTATTTCTGATGGGTGAGCTTACTTGTTCTGTTAATGCAACTTGCTTAATTTCAGTTAATTAACTTTTTTGAGAAAGCCATGGCATAAGATCTGTTAAAAGAAGCTTCATTAAACTGAGTTCTTCTGCTTATTCAGAGACTGAACGCATGAGGAAGTATCATTGACACTCACTGCCCGGAAGAATACAAGTTGCTACTATGATCAATGATGGGAGATCAGCTGAAGGCAGCTTGGCTTTAAGTATGGATTTCTCTTCTTGCATTATAAGTGTACATGAGACCAGTAATAAAGTCCTTACTGTCAGTGTGATTTTGAACATTGCAATTGGGGGGTATGTGCACATCCTTATTGTGCAGTTAAGAATAATGGGATTTGTGCATATTGTTCCAGCCATAATAGTGTTCTGTGTACTATTTCTAGTGAATATCCCCATAAAATCTGATGACACTGCCACTTTAAAAGGTAAAGGCAGTTTCTGGAGGGGAGGGGGAAAAGATTTTAATTATGAATCTTAAGCAATACATCCACTCCCATGCTTGTTAGGCACATGTTGCTTTATCTCTCATGCCCCACAGTCCAGCTTTTTCATCTGAACATTTTAACAGAAAACACCAAATAAATGCTTATAGGCGGTTAGGCGACTGTAGCAGTTCTGTGGGAACAGCAAAGCCTTTATGAATCGTTTTCCAAAGTGCAAAGTTTCAAGAACTAAAGCTCAGTTCAACTGGGCACGGTAACAGTTCTTATGATCACATTAAACCAGGCAGACCTTCCTTTCACCCACAAAACATGGTGACAAGCTCTTTTCAAATCTTCAGTAATAGGCTCAGAACAGGCAGTGTTAGTTCATACAGCCCTCCACACTTACACTTGCTAAAGGCTGGGATTAATTTACATTTTTGCAAAGGATTCATTGTAGGCCCTATAAAAAGATACTGATCATTTTTATCTAACTTTGGTTTCTCTATGTACATTTGTTTCTACCATTAGAATGTACAGAAAGAATTTTACAAGCTGCTGCTTCCTTCTCGCTGCAGAACATAAGCTGGACTGCTGCAGCTAGCTGAGTAATTTAGTTCCACCTGATTACTAAAAGCCCCTTTGCCAGACCATCTTACAGGTGCCACTGTGTAGGGTAGAGTGGTTTGTACTATGGTATTTCTTACCTCTTCTTATTGCTAAGGACTGGTGGAAAAAAATTTCCATATCAGACATTAAACAAAACATGCCTATTCCAATTATTGCATTTAAAGAGGTTTGCGTTTCATATTGGTCTTCACGTTCTACTTCCCTGTTTTTTTTCTCAATAAAGACACCAAGTTCTGTCCTTAAAATAACAAGATGTAAAAAAAGAGGTTCCAAATAAAGTTCTCAATTAGCCAGTCCTTTTGGTATCGATGTTTAAAAAGGTAGAACAGTTCAAGATGGTATGAAGTATAACTTGGCTCCCATATTAAAAAAATGCTATAGTTTGTTGCTTCACTGTCCACTAAGAAAAGCCAAATGTCCTTTGGTACATCTGTTGGCATAATGTCCTTTTTCGCCACACTGTGGGAGAAGATAATTATGTTAAAACCCAAAACTATAACACATTTAGTTAAAAGCTTTAAATGGGAACTATCTGGTTACCAGTGACAAAAGAAAATTTCTGTTTTTTAGCTTAGTAGCCAGAATCCTAATGTGAAGTACTGCATGAATAAGTGAAATCTATCATTTCACAATTTTCTGTCTGGCTGTTACACGCTAGGCCTGCAGATGAACACAGACCAAGCAGGCAAACAACAGTATGTATTAGTTATGCTGTGTTAGATTTACACTGCAAAAACCTAATAGGACTGTTGGCAATTAATCTTAGTATGAAATCTCATAATTTAAAAATAGCATACCCAGAATGGAACAGGATGGGTTTTGCATTAAGAAACATATGACAAACTAGTCAGTCAGAAAAACATTTCTCCCTCTAAGGTTAAAAGGAACCAACAAAAACAACTAGACTCATTGAAATCAGTGGGACTCTTAAGACCAACTGAGGCTGCACTATTTTAGTGTGCCAGCATTGATTAAATTTGGATGCATCCCAACAACTGCATATATGTAAATAAGTTTATTCATTAAAATAATGGACTTTGGCTTTTGCAGCTGAATCTGGCTTTATAATCAGTAACTCTCTTATTCAGAAAGACCTAAAATCCCACCCCCCAAAAAATAATTTCCTGAATTCTGCCCAAACCAGCTAAGATGCAGCTAGCTGAAAGAATAAACTATGAAAATGTTTGTGGCATCACTTGTCAATATTCCAGCCCCAGAAAGCATCTGGGATGCAGGGTTCCCTACAGACAACATGCAACCTTCAGCTTACCTTATAACAGGTCACCTGCTCTAAGGGCCGAGGCCCTCTGTTTCCTATGCTGTTGTTTTGAGATTGCATAACTCCAATTACTTGTGGAGTCCTCTGCTGGCTGGGAGAGGAGTTCTGACTTGTTAACTGGATGAGGGATGAAGACCTTTGTAATGGTGTGTTGTTATTTTGCTGAGAGGGGAGGAAAAAATAACAGATTACATAACTACTGAACAGTTCAGACGGACAAGCACAATGCAAGTTTAAAAAACTTTCAATAGCATTCTCTTAAGCCCCATCCACCAACAGTTACCATGCCCTATAATGCAACAATAAACAATATATCCTGATACATGTATCCTTGCTGTACACCATTCTCATATTGAGGAGTCCATGATTCCCTGATGCAGCTTGTATAACAAATAATGAACGTCCCAGAAGCACCTGTATCTGGCAACCAGACCCACCCACAATTCAAAATGACTAGACGAAAGGGAAGCCGTCTAATAAAGACCTTAGTGAAATGCAGAGTGTTCCTTTCCGTGCTGATGACATCACAAGATGCTCAATATTCAGTGATTTAAAACCACCTCATCTTTTAATGAAAATTATAAACTGTGCAACACTGCCTTAGCTTTTAGAAAAGTGGCTCACACTTTTACAGAAGCAGCTGTGAAGTTACGTACCTTTTGCTGTGGTTGTGTTAGTGGAGGCAATGGTGGTTGCTCGGTGGTTCCCATAGGAAGTTCAAATCTAGGGCTGAATTTGGAAAATGCATGCATAAGGAAACCTACAAGGGCTGAAGGAGCTCTGAGTTACTGATTAGAACATTCTTAACTCAGATCTATTTGTGGTTAACTCAAGAGACAATGCTTGTATACCTGCTTTGAGAAACTGAAAGTAATTCCTTTCCATATTGCATTTTGCACTCCAGATACAGAAGCCAGAGAAATAAGAAAGTTATAGTACAAAAACAGGCCAAGTCCATAATTTTAAAGGGTTTGTGAGACGGTTCTTCCCAAGCCCAACAGATGGGAAGTAGAAGGACTACCAGACATCTCTTGAGTAGGTTTACCATCATGGAAGGCCTTGACCAGCACAAGTAACAGTGCACTATGCCCCATTCTTAGATTGGTTAGATCCATTGCCTTCAAAGTACCATGAATCTCCAGATCTCTCCTATAGGGCAGCTGACTCTACAGCACTTGTTCTTAGATGTTAAGCTCTCACACATTTTGTTACTTATAAAGTACAACTCCATCTGCTGGGAAGCTGTTATCAGCCATACTTTATTTTATTTATTTATTTACTGCATTTATATGCCGCCCATCTAGACATAGTCTACTCATAGTCTACTTAACAAAATCAACCAGGCTGACATGTAAGGAAATTTTCCTATAAAAATGGACCTCGTGCTTTCTGACTACTGTCTTGTGAAATTCGAAGAAAGCAAAAAAAAAACCTGTCTTCCCCAATCCTTTGATAAGACAAGCCTTAACTATATGAGGAACAAGCACACACAAATACTCACTCACTCAACTCTTCTAAGTCTAGTTACACTGTGTCACAAGCAAACTTGAAGGCACAGAGCAGGAGATGCTTAGAAAGCAAATACTTGGAAATAACTTGTGGAAATGAGCCATGGCCCATGCTGCTATGAGTGGGGACTCTAACTCAAAGCCACTGTTCCTTTACCTTTTTAGTGCAATACCAGCCAGAGCCTGAACAAAGAGGAGGAAGCTTCCTTAGCCAGGGACACAAACACGAGCAGTAGGCCAAATACAATTTTGCATTCTTTTCCACAGTATGCTGTCAGCATACAACATAGAGGGATCACCCATTTTAACAATCTGGTCCTGTTTGGGAAACAAGGCCCATCTGAACTGAACACAGAAGTCACAATACAACGCAAAAGCAGCAGTGGTACCAGCTGACATGTGGCTTCAACCTAAGAGATCTCTTGGATAAATCTGGTGGAAAGCACGCCAATTCAGGTTATGCCATTTGTGAATGGGCTTGGGGCAATGTGGCTAGAAATGCATATAGGTCAGTGTGTTGGACAACATGTACATTGCATCACAGCAGATGAGGAGATTAATACAGGAGAAATAATCCTGGAGCATACTCACTGCATGAATTTGCAAGCAGGCCCCTCTGGACAAAAGCCTACCAGATAATTTACACAAATAACCCGCCGAGTATGTCTGTGTCTGCAGAGGGGACCTGGAACACAGAATGTTATTGTCATCTCTCTTTAAAGCAAATAAAGGAAACGTGCAAAGTAAACGACTCTGGCCTACCACTACACCCTGCAGAAATAAAGGCCATCCAGCATTCTTTCAAATAGCCCAGACTGAACATTTTCAGTCACTTTCCCACAATCCGATATATTACACTTTACTTCAGTAATACAGATAAACTTTCAAACAGCCAAGCCTGACAGCAGGCATCGGTCTGTCACACTGGAAAATGCTGCAAATTTGCCTTGCTATTACAAGATGCATATATGCTGTGACCGAATACAGATATGGGAGAAAGAACACAAAACAACAACAGCAATGTTTCAAATACGTACCATGTTTACAAAAACCTCGGTCATACCAAGGGCAATCTTTGATCTTAGATTCTGGGTCAATGTGCAAGAACGGGCACTCCTTGTTGCTGCATTCCCCTGCAAGAGACAAGAAGATAGGTCACTAGACCAAGGAGAAAAAGGAAAGCCCTGCTGATCAGTTATCAGGAACAAAATGCCTTTCCAGAACAACTGTACTAACCAGAAATAATTCAGATACATTTCCTTCATAGCAAAACATGCTGCCTTCCTTTCCGATCCACTTGAAGACAGAAAGGAACCTCGGCTGCCAAGACAATGAAATTGAAGTGCGCTAGAAATGCTAGCATTACTGAGTGAATGTTCTGCACAGTTCACACAGCAGTAGTGAAGTCATGCAGATGCAACAAATCTTACCATATTTTGAGTAGAAGTAACACTCTGGCATCTTGGTCATGTCATATTCATGCAAAAATTCACACTGGTCACCCTTCTTGCACAGGCCTCGTAGCCAGTGTTTACAAACCACTGTCTTTTCGCCACTGATATGTCGGAAAGGACACATTCCTCCTACGGTGCAGGAAAATAAATAGGAAAAACACTCTTTAACGTACATCCCACTAACTGAACAATAAGAGGCATCGTTTGAGTTATGCAGAGAAATCCTCCTCAGACATCTTTATGTTAGAATGGTGCTTAACTTTAAACCCTTAATGTATTCAGTGAAATATTCAGCCCACAATCATCTGCATATCTGTTTCCTCATACTTTATGTGCCATGAACACAGTACAAAATCTCTCGCTTATAGGCCCTTATAGGAAGAGCAAGAGCTGCAATAATGCCAGGACCATGAATAGAAGTTTGCAAGCCAGCTCCTTAAAATTCATAGCAGATGTTCGGAAATCATAAGCTATCAAATTATACATTTTATTCTGCTACTTCAATTTCCAAAGGAACATATGAAAATCAGAAGAGCAAGGTGAGCAAGCTTCTTCCAGCTCAAGAATTCACTTCCTTACTTCTTCATACCAAGGACTTCTGCAGCCTGAAGACAAGAGAACCAAGCTATTTCTGGGGCTCTCTGGTTACTTAGCACCGCATAATCTTCTATCTATTTCCTTAATGAAGTTCTTACTTACAAGCTCCTCTGGAAAAGGACCTGACTATGTTTCACTGCAAAGCACTAAACCAAAGCTAATGTACTGATTACATACAGAATTTGAAATTCAGAAGTGGAAGGATCAAGGGTTGCCCCCCCCAGCCCAGTACATTTGCAGTTGTTTCTTACCTTTCCCACAGGCTGCCTTTAAGAAAAAATCACAGACAGCAGCACCTGATTCTGTGAAGAAATAAATATATTAAAAATACTCCAGTTATCCTTCACACACGACACCATTTTCAACCATCTGCACTGAAAATGCTTCGACTGCTTACATGAATGGCTGGCGCAAAATGCACACCAGCATCTTTACCAGCTATGTGACAAGCACAAATGCAGGAAATCCTAACATTGCCCTCTCTCCAGCTACCACCCTTTAGAACAGCCAGTTCAAACCTGCAGGTACGCAGAATTTAAATTACTAGTCTCCAGAAGGCAGTACTGCACTAGATGGATTTGTATTCAGATCAAGCTGGGGTCCCCTTATATTAGGTAAAAAGTCAATCCCAGATTGCTTTCTTCTGTCAAGTTCATGGCAGACTTACTGTTCCTCTTCAGCAAGTGAGAAAGCTATCCTACATCTGCTTCCTCAGACTCTAAGCCTCTTCAAGTTCGATGTGTCTTTACATCATTTATCTTTTTATTTGATTTATATTCCTGCATTGAGCAAGAGGTTGGGCTTGATGTCCTTATCAACCTCTTCCAACTTTATTATTCTATGCTTCTATAATGACATCACATCTTACTCCCAAGAACGTCACTCAAAACTTACATACTAATTGCATCCTCTTATTCTGCTTTATAGAAATTTTTCTGATAGCAATGTCTGTGTTATTTGTGTCTATATCTCTACTTCTACACTTGCAAGAGTGGCAAACAACCTTTAATTTGTATTTCACCAAAATATTTATGCTTCCACCTTCTTCCAAGAACGCAGAAGCAAAAATATTTTCTTAAATACTCTGACATTTATATACATTTATATAAGTACAGATATTCTCAAAAAGATCTCAAAAAACCTAGAGTGAAGTGCTTAGTTCTTGTGTTTAATTTTTTTAAAAAAATTAGCTGTTACTTAAAACGTCAAACAGTAGTCTTTCATACATCCCCCAAAAACACAGTCACTCACAGCATTTATTAGTGTGATTACTGGTGGCTCGGTGTAATTAATGTAAGAGAAAAAAAATATGGGGTGTGTGGAAAAGTCCCCACCGTGTGAAAAAAAGGCAGAATCCCAGCATTTCACTCCATGTTTTTTCACTCTACTGATCATTTAGCCAGAAACAGTCACACACGTGCATGCATATACAAACACATATCGACAAGGGCTGGACTCCATGATTCCTAGCAGCCCTTCCAGCTCTACTGTTCTAAGGTGATGATGATGATGAAGACTATGTTAAGGAAGCCCTGCTGTCTTCGTGTATTCCTCCCCTCCACACACACCCCGGTCCCTGCTCTTTTTTTCTTCTTCTTCTCTCTCTCTCAAGTTGCCCCCTTTGGCTTGGCTGCAGAACCCACTGTTTTATTTATATTCCTCGCTGAGTGAAAGGGGGGGAAGACCAGGGACCGGGGGGGGCGCCCCGTGAGGAGGCGGGAGAAGGAGAGGGAGCCCTAACGTGAGGCGGCCGGGCTCGGTCCAGAGGAAGGCACCCCCAGCCTCCTCGCCTTGGCGGCTCCTCCACGGGAGGCGCGAAGGAAGCGGGTGGTGGTGGTGGTGGTGATGATGATGATGGGTGCGGGGAAATGAGTGTGTGTGGGGGGGGATCCCGTCTCCTCCTGCCCCGCCACGTACTGTCCATGCCCGGGAAGGGCAGCGGCTGGGCCCCGAGCTGCTGCTCCACCGCGATCTCCAGCTCGAACTTGATGTGCTCCACGCTGGCGATGAGCTCCTGCATGATGGCGGTCCAAGGAGAAGGCGCCGGAGGTGAGGGGGAAAAAAAAGGCCTTTTCTTTCTATCTCTCTCTCTCTCTCTCTCTCCCGTCTTCTCCGCCTCAGTCCAGGCGGGAAGAAACCTGAGGGGGGAAAACGGGCGAAACTCCGCAAGTCGACCAAAGGCTTCTGAGGGGAATAAGAAAGGGGGGAGGGGGGGGGAGGCGCGCGCACGACCCTCTCCTCCAATCAGAAGCCAGCCGTCTTCGCGAAGGACGCCGGGAGTTGTGTCGGGTTTTTCTTTTCTTTCCTTTCCCCTTTCACTTCTGACGTCGCAACCAGGGTCGGCGTGTGCCTCGTTCCAGCCAATGAGACGAGGCCTGGCCGAGAAAGAGCCCGCCTCTTTGGAAGGGCAGACGAACGTCCGTCTTATACGTAGAGGAGAAGGGACCAATGGAGGGTGGGGATGAGAGGTCGGGCACGCCCTCCGGGGCGGTAACACGAGGGTAGGGCGGGGTGAAGGAGAGGATTAATGGGTGGGGCTAGGCAGGCCGAGGGGCGGGGAAACGGCCAGAGAGGCCGCCCACGTGAGTGCGCCGGACGAATCAGAAGCCCCGCCTTCTTGTGGGCGGAGACTTGGAGGCTCAAGAGGAAAGGGAGGTTGAAGGGAGCGTGGAAAGAAGGTGGGTGTTGATGGGGGGGTCGGTGTGTAACGTCGTTACTCCACAGCGTTACAAATCCCAAGAGTCCCCCCAGCGCAGATTCTGGGGGGGGGGGATTCTGGGCGTTGTAGTTCCAAGAAAGTAACTTTCCCAAGCTGCGTTGAGGTTGAGTGATTCCTTGTGGTGTCAGGATCTGGGAGGAGAGGGACCCAAACCGAGGTCCTTGAACTTCAGGTCCCATCATCCTGCTTTACAGGCTGTGCTGGTCTGGGGGGCTGATGGGAGCTGTAGTCCAGGCATATATATACCCAGTTTCCCCAAAAATAAGCCCTAAACTGAAAATAAGTCCCAGTATGATTTTTTCAGGATGCTAAAAATATAGAAGCCTTACCCAAAAAATAAGCCCTAGTTAAGTAAAACCCCGCCCTCCACCTTTGTGCAGCACCCAGAAGATGATGACAGGACTGTATTTGAATGAATGCAGATTGTTGTATACTGTATTTGAATGAATGCAGATTGTTGTACTGTATATGGGAAAAAATTCCCCTGAAAATAAGCCCTAATGCGTATAATGCGTATAATACTAATACTAAGCCGTAATACTGTATAAGACTCTGCCTTATTTTCAGGGAAACACGGTAGAAGGCCTTAGACATCTGCATTATAAGGTGTTCGCTCCACACCCGGCTGACAAACCCAACTCCTCATTCCATCGACCCGCTCCTTTACCGAAGCCCGGCCTCTTTACTTGCCTGGGCTTTGCCTTCGAATAAATAGCTTTAGAACGGCAGAGCTGGAAGGGTCCCCCTGGATCATCCAGTCCATCCCCTGTCAAGGAGCCCCAGGGGGGAATCGAACTCCCAACCACTGCCTGGCAGCCAAAGACTTAAACCGCTGAGCTATCAGTCTTCCTTGTTTAAGATTTACATTATATTGGGCAAAAAAGCCCCCCCACACACACCCCTGCAATCCTGAGATAAATTACATTTTCATGTGTCCATTCAAAGCCAAGTTTTTTTTTTGTTTTTTTGAAAGGCTTCAAGAAACAATTACTTTGGTGTGTGTTTGTTTTTCCCCATGTGGTGGGGTTTCCCCCTTTAAGCTGATCTTAGTTGTGACACTTTATTATTTCCCTGCACCAGGTTCCACACTCTAGGATTGCTGTTGTTTTCTGGGGGGAGAATCCAAGTTGTTTTAAAAAATCAAACCCATAATCTTATGGATTTGTGTTTCAGGCCACCTCATCTGATGAGAAAGGAAAGGAAAGCCGTAACATAATGGCAATACAGCTCCTGTCCCGTCGCTTCTCTGCAGGTGTTCTCACACAGGGCGTTCCTTTCCACCTTTGGATGTGTTTGGCCCCCAGGGTGGGGGCTGCGCCAAAGGAACACTTGGGTTGGGCCAGAAACCCACACCATCTGCTCAGATATCTGGGCCCAAGGACTCTTAGCTCGTCCCCTGTAGTCTACAGCAAAGATCCGAAAGATATTCAGCCAACGGACCCCCGGGAGCTTGCTGGGGAAGAGGAAGATGATGAAGAGGAACCTTTTGGAACATTGACTAAAAAATTCTCTTCTAGGCATTTTTTTCATAAAGCCACCCCAGAACAACGAAACTTTCAACTCCGATCCCAAACAGAGGAGGACGAGGAGGAAGAATGGGAAGGAAAACGTAGACAAGGCCCGAGGAACACTCCATATTGGTATTTTTTGCAGTGCAAGGCATTGATCAAGCAAGATAAGGTCATTTTCTCACCCTTTTTCCCCAGGTGGGAGGGGAGGCCCAGACGCGTTGGCCTGTTGCAGCAAGAACTGTGAAGAGACAGTCCTACAGCTCCTCAAAGTTTGACAGATTTTATTTGTGAACACAAAAATAAAAGGTCAAAACAAGACAAAAATGGGGTGGCACCCTAAAGATTACATTTTATATTTTTTTAAACGTCAGCTTTCAAGGCCAAGCCCACCTTGGGTTCTTTTTAAGGAGAGAAGTGAGATAAAAGTATTTTTAAAATAAAATAAACTACATAAATAATAATAAATTCATCAGAGTTCAGTTGGTACAACCTTCATTAGGTATAACCTTTGGTATAACTACTTCAGCAGCAACAGTTGACACACCAAATGAAATGGGTTAAGAATCCTAGCATTGTGGAACTGGGTGGGGATCTATGGATCATTGTGCTAATGCAAAAAATCCAGAACTGTGGTATTGCTGACCCATGGGTCTTTTTAAAAGCTGCTAGCAAAGTCCGCCATTTCTGGAAGCAGCCCGGTTACTGGCCAAACAGCTCTTGCTGTCAGGAAGCGAAAAGGAGAGGCGTGTAAATCTAAAAACAGATTAGCCTGTAAAATGTTTTTTTAAACATTACTACCTCCTCATAGCTGCGTTCTCTTCTCCATAGCTGGCAGAAGCCCTGGAACTGTTTGAGGTGCAGATGCTGAAGGAGGAGCGTCTTAAGCCTGAAGAATCAAACTATACAGTGCTTATTGGAGGATGCGGCCGGGTCGGTTACCTGAAGAAGGCGTTCAGGCTCTATAACGATGTAAATATTCAGGATGAAATGTCTTCGGACCAGGGGGACAACTGCCACGGGGGAGGGGGGATTGGCTTTAATTGCTAAGGATCACTGATTACAGTGGTGCCCCGCATAGTGACGATAATCCGTTCCAGATAAATTGTCGCTATCCAGAATCATCACTATACAAGGCAAAAAACCCCATAGGAACGCATTAAACAGGGTTTAATGCGTTCCTGTGGGGGGAAAACTCACCATTATGCGAAGATCCTCCATACGGCCGCCATTTTCGCTGCCTCGGTAAGCGAGGAAACCGAGAAAAGTGACTTTACTGCTTTCCGGGTCCCAGAACTCCAGCTGCTCTGACTGCAAAAAATTACTTTTGAAAGCTCTGTTGATTCCTTTGTATTTTATATCTCTGCAAGAAAAGTGCTATATATCTATATATATCTATACAGTGGTGCCCCGTATAGCGAGGTTAATCCGTTCCGGATTAACCTTCGCTATCTGACTGCAAAAAAATTACTTTTGAAAGCTCTGTTGATTCCTTTGTGTTTTATTTATATATATATCTTTATTTATTTATTTATTTATTTAATTTTTATTTCTGCAATAAAAGTGCTATATATCTATATATATCTATATCTATCTATCTATCTATAAGTGCTACATATGTATATTTTAAGACATATCCATTTTAATTTTACTGGGAGCAGATGAAAAAGCGAGGCTTAGCACCCACCGACGCTACGTACACGGCTTTGTTCAACGCCTGCGCGGAGTCGCCTTGGAAAGACTCGGGCTTAGAAATGGCCCTGAAGTTACGACAGCAGCTGCTGAGCAAAAGTGTCGACTTGAATCCGGTCACCTACCACGCTCTCTTGAAAACGTGCGCCCTCTGTTCGGATCTCCGGATGTGCTTAGAAATACTGAAGGTAAAAAAGAAGGGTCCAGCGTTTGGATTGGGTTTCTCTGTTTCCTCCAACGTGCTTTTGTGCTTTACTTTTGGGCACAGGCCGAGGGGGGCTGTGACCCTCCAAAAGGTGTTGCAGCTGCTCTTCCCACCCTCCCCACATCATTGACTGCGCTTGTCAAGGCTGGTTGCCCAAGATTTCCTGGAGAGCCGCAACGGGCTCCCCCTTGTAGAGCGGAGAGATTGCGTCTCTCCGTCTACAGGATGAAGTAAACAAAGAGTGTGGGTAGATTTCCACACAATCAGGCCCAGGAAGAACTTCCCAGGCATCCAATAGGATGATTTTGGAGGCAATGCCAGAAAGTGGGGATGATGGGACACTGAGGATTGCCCTGTGATGTTTTCCTCTGAATTAACTCCCATGTCAGGAACGTGTGGCTGCCCTAGAGGAACACACTCTTACTTTTCCATAAGACTTAACATTCTTTAACTTTCCTCTGAATTAACTCCCATGTCAGGAAGGTGTGGCTGCCCTGGAGGAACACATTTTTCCATAAGACTTAACATTCTTTAATGGCTTATATCAGTTTTAACATACGCACCTTTTATATGAGTCATTATATACAAACTACTGCTTTTATACTCTTAAGCAGGTTCTTATGTGGACAACATGTGGGCACCAGGAAATGCACATCTTCAAGGCCACCCCGGATCTTGGTGGTTGTGGTCGTTTTGCATTTTGTGGTGGTTTCACTTTTGCTTTGTATTTATTTATGTTTGCTCCAAATCCTGACTTGAGCTTTGTAGATCTCTGGGGGGCAGCAGGTGTTATAATAGAAGTGAGTTCAGTAGATCCATTTTTCCCAAAAAGCTCCAACTCAAGATGTGTCTGTCCAGGAGCTTGCTGTTATCCCCTTTTTTTTAAATGGCCAAAGGTAGAAATTTCTGACCCTCATTCTCAGGGCTGGGGGTCTCTAATCTCTTTCTGAGGTTGTCTACCCCAGTGCTTCTCAACCTTGGGTCCCTGGGGGATCTCGGACAACAACCCCCAGAAATCCTGGCCGGCACAGCTAGGGGTGAAGGCTTCTGGGAGTTTTAGTTCAGAAATACCTGGGGTCCCAATGTTGGCAACCGTTGGTCTGGCTATACCATATTCCCCAATGAATACTGTAACTGTCCAGATATAGTTTCTGCTAGTGGGGTGCCTTTGTTATCAGCAGGCCCCCATTCAGCTGATGCTGGTGTCTAAAGAGACTCTCCAGGGGGAACCTAATAACAGGACCAGATTTTCCTTTCTGGAATCCTAGAAGCAGACGTTGCCTATGTCTTTTTTGAAGGTAGACCGGTTGCTTGATATTCATGATTGAAGGCACAAGGAAGTCTGCAGCTCCTCAAAGACGACTTCCATAAAAAGTACATGAGTGCCTAAAACGGGGACATTTCACCTCCATTCATAACTTAGAAGTCTCTTTCCTGGAGTTCTTATGATCTCTAGAACATTAGCTGGTTTCGATGGCAAAGGAGGCCAGTGCTTTGTTTAACCCGTCCACCGCAGAATGATTACAAAACGTTTTCCTCCTGTTTAGGAAATTGTCGGGAAAGGCCATCGGCTCACCACGGAGACGTTCAACTTCCTGCTCATGGGTTGCATAAAAGACAAAGAGAATGGGTTCAGATACGCGTTGCAGGTCTGTTTACCACCTTCCTCTTTTACTATCATGCAGATCAATAAAAGATGACAGCGTTTCTCTTGCATGAGCATTGGGTTGTAACTCAGCACTTCTTACCCTTGATTCCGCTGGCTTTCTCTGTTCGTAAAGCTCTTCCATCTCTTTGTGAGTTTTAGACCTGCAAAGCCACGTGCTTCTAGAGAATGATGTGAGGCTATGTCACTACTCCTAGATTTAAAATCTTTGGGAGAGTTCAAGGAAGAGATACATAGCCCTTGAGATAATCACCATATAGTCTGTTACAGTTACTCAGCCTGGTTTTCTCTGGCTATTGATTCTTAAGCCACAGTGTGTATTTCAGTATCAGCAGCACTAAATCTCTGTATGAGACCCACTGGGCGGTAGGGATAGAATGAATTGCTGTCCTAGTGGCAATCAGCCTCGCTATTTGGGAATGCAGCTGACCTGCCTCCCAGACAGAAATCTCATGCTGCCGAAATAGTTGTAATAAACTTCACTGAGATGCAGTCTTCATCTCGGCTGCTCTCACTCAAAAAGTCAGTGGAGGAGGAGACTGAAATCTTCCAGTGGCTTTGGGGAAGTCATTCTAAGCAACAAGCCATGTTGGACGGAACAAGAATAAGATTCACCAACAAACGAGCGATGGGGGGGGGATTCAGAGTGATTCCGTCCGAGAGCTGAATCGTAATTTCAAAGAAATTATTTGGCCGTCTAGTTGGTAGTACCAGAGTCAAACATGCTGATGTGTGTTGATTGTCAGTGTTGTAGGCAAAGCATTTCCCACTCTTGCAATGCAGGAGGAGACTTCAGGAAAAGATGGGGAATCACTGAAAGATTGTATCTTCAGCCCTAAGCCATGAAGTTCCCCACCCCCACCATAAAGCAAAGTGTGCTGCTTATATAGTGCCCCATAGCGCTTAAAGCACTCTCTGGGTAGTTCACAATTTAATTATGCAGGCTGCACTTTGTGCCCTCCACCCCTACTCCCAGCAAGGTGGGTGCCCCGTTTTTCGACCTCGGAAGGATGGAAGGCTGATTGAACCCTGAGCTTGCTACCTGAGCCCATAGGGATCGAACTCGGGTTGTGAGCGGAGTCTTGGCTGCACTACTTCAGTTTAACCACTGCCCCATGAGGCTCCTGAGAGATCTGTCCATCAGTCTGTTCCCGACGAGTAAAACAGAACTCTATTAATCATCTAGGCTTCAGATTGTATAACCCACATCCTACCCTGCTTCCTCAAACAGGTCTGGCAGCAGATGGTGAAGCTGAATCTAAAACCCGACAGTTACACCTACAACCTCATGCTCCACGCGGCCAGGAGCTGCAGCCTCGGCGACCCCCAGGCGGCTTCTGACTTACTGCTGAGCGCTTACAGTGAACGCCCCGCCACCCCAAAGCTGAGGGCCGGTGATCGAAAGGGACGGAAGGACAAGGGCCAGAAAGAGAAAGACACCAGGGCTGGAGTTCAGGTGGACGTGGATGTCTTAGAAAAGCGTTTGTTTCCAGTATATTCCAGAAAAACTGAGGAAGAAAGCCGGGCTTTGAGCGAGGCTCATTCAGAGACGAGTCGTGTCCCCAGTTCACCAGATTCTGTCGTTGCCAAGGACCTGGTGGTCCCCGATAAAAGCCATGTCTTTCCGGTTCCTTCAGAAGGGGCCTTGGCCTGTTTTCCAGAGGCCACGCAGAGTTTTCCCAACTTGCTGGAAGTGCACACCCCCAATAAAAACGTGGTTTCTTCAGGGACTGTAGCCACAGCCTCTGATAGGCTCGCTCTGATGGGCAACATGGAAGGTTTCCTAAAGAACATGAAGGACAACGAGGTGCCACCAAATATAAAGACGTTCACTCTGCTAGCCGAGGTGGTGGCGCCCAGCAGCCCTTCAGAATCTTCCTTACTGACCGTCATGGAGGAAAACGGCGTGAAAGCGGACATCACTTTTTTAAATACCTTGATAAGGAAAAAAAGCAAGCAAGCAGATCTGGAGGGAGCGAAGGTGAGATCCATAACAACATTCTTGCGGGTGGGTCACAATTCTGTGGCGGGCATATGGTGCAGCATTTCCAAAGTTCACGTTAGAAGCTCTGCTTTCGTTGTTCCTCCCCTTTCAGCTCGTACAGTCACATATCCTCGAAGAAACGTGAATGAAGTCTCTGGGCAAACCTGCAGAATTAGCTTCATAGAATAATAGAATCATGGTGTTGGAAGCCTATAAAGACATTGAGTCCAATTCCCTACCCAAGGCAGGAATCCAAATCAAAACAGATCTGAGAGGTGGTTGTCCAACTCTCTTGAAAGCCTCCAGTGTTGGAGCACTCACCTCCTCTTGCAGTCTTTGATTTCATTGTTGTACTGCTCTCACAGTTTAGAAGTTTTTCTTGCTATTCAACTGAAATCTGGCTTCCTCTAACTTGATCCCAGTATTACGTGTCCTGCACTACGGGATGACTGAGAACAAATCTTGCCCCTCCTCTCTATAGCTATCTTTCAAGTATTGTGGTGCATCGCAAGACGAATTTAATTCGTTCCACGGTTAATGTTGTCTTGTGAAAAATTCATCTTGCGAAATGTGTTTTCCCATAGGAATGCATTGAAATCTAATTAATGTGTTCCTGTGGGCAAAAAAAAGTCAGAACAAAGTCAAATTTGGTTTACAAAGGGTTTATTAAGTGCTCTTTAAAGCCATACATATTGTACAGATGATTTTAAAAAATTCAGTCAAAAATCTTTAACTTTTTAAACTTCATAGAAAAACATTTATAGATCAGCAAACATGAGGCAGGAACAAAAAACGGAAAACATTCTTCTTGCGAAGCACGGCCATAGGAACATTCGTCTTGCGAGTCATCAACCCCATTGCCAAAACCATTCGTCTTGCGAGTTTTTTGTCCTGCGACACATTTGTCTTGCAAGGCACCACTGTATTTGAAAGGTGCTATCCTTTCTCCCGTCAGTCTTTTCTCGAAGCTAAACATGCCCAGTTCTTTCAATCTTTCCTCCTAGGGCTTGGTCTCCAGTCCCTTGATCATCCTTGTTCTCCTCCTCTGAACTTGTTCCAGGGCGGTATACAAGTCTAATAATATAAATAGAGGGGAACTAGTACCTTGCAGGATTTGAAGACTATACGTCTGTTAATGTAGTCTAAAGTAACACTTGTCTTTTCTGTAGCCACATTGCACCGTTGACTCATACGTATTCAGCTTTTGATCTACAGCAATTCCAAGATCCTTCTCACTCGTAGAAATACCGAGCCAAGTTCCCCCCCATCTTGTAACTGTGCATTTTGTTTCTCTCTCTCTACATGTAGAACTTTGCACCTCTCCCTGTTAAATTTCATTCCGTTGATTGATAAAAATGGCACAAGATTCATCTCCTTTCCGTCTTAAACCCAGAAGGAATATGGTACTCTTAATATCCTTTTGTATATTATAGAACCTGCTACCTGAACTTCTGAAGAGAGGACTTTCCCCCAATTTACAGACGTTTTGTAACTTAGCAATAGCCTGCCGCAAAAAGAACGATGGACTTCAGTTGCTCGCCGACATGAAGGTATGGAAATTTCGGTTTTGGTTTTAATGTCAACATGTTCTGGAAGCTTTCTTGACATAGATTATCTCCTTATGAGCAAACCAGCTCCTTCCGCTGTGAGCTGCAATGCATTGGTTTAGCCTGGACAGTTTATACACTGAATTGGCTTTTGAGTGGCAATTTGGAAAACAGGGGAGGTAGATATTTGCAGTAGCAGGCATAAATCAGATGTGTAGACTCTCCGTTCCTGTTTTAAATAACAATTCAAGAAAGGAAAGTGGATTGCAATGAGGAAGATAGGTGGAATACAAGAAAAGCAAGGTGTGAAAAAGACCATTTTGAAGTTAATCCAGTAATTTTCAGCGCAACACGAGAAGGTCCTGCATTCGGTTCAGGATCGCAATAGGCAGCTGTCCCGTGAGCCCATCCTGGCATGTTTGCTTCGGCATACTAATCCATGCCTTAAATTAGCTCTTTTCCCCCCCTCCCAGATGTGTGCCCAGATTCCTGCAGGTCCCTATGTCGGTTCTTCAGATTTGCCTTTGTCTTATCCTTCTGGGCTGTGTTTTTCAGCTATCTGGACTGAAACCCAACGTGCACATCTACGGTACCCTCGTAAACGCAGCCGTGAAGAGGCTAAATTACAGCTACCTGATAGAGATCCTAAAAGATATGCGAAACAACCAGGTTCCACCAAACGAAGTGGTCCTGAATCAACTAGAGTTTGCCGCCCAGTATCCTCCCAATTATGATAGGGTAAGATATTCTCTGCTTCATATAACAAGAATGACTGGACTGCTCAGTTGTTTAAGTCTCCAGCTGCAAAGCCAGAGGTTGGGGGTTCGATTCCCCACCAGGCCTCCTTGATGGGCTGGACTCCATAATCCAGAGGGTCCTTTCCAGCAATGCCCTTCTAAGACAAATGATAAGAATTTGAGATTTTACCTACAGCACTTTGCTAATGCCACCTCCCTATAAAGACAGCAAGAACCAAAGTAAGCATGTGGCATTCAGAAAACCCAACACGTTAGATACCAAGAGTCTTGTTGACACATGTTATAACAGCTTTTTCTGTCAAGAATCTACAAAGTGGGGTTTGACAACAGGTGGCTTTTTGAACCACAGACTTTTAAAGTCTCACTAATTCCAGAGGTAGAGAGTTAAATATGAGACTACACCTTCTTTCTGTAAAATCTGTATGATAAGTGGCAGCAACATTTTCCGTCTCCTCCACATTTAAGATGCAACAGATTAGACAGCTGTCAATACATCTGGGAAAGGCTGTTTAATTCCTTGTACTCTTCCCTTCCTGTTGTACTGTACAATTGTCCTGTTAACTGTGTGCATTTTTTCACTTGCAGTACAAAGAGAAAGATTATTACCTGGAGAAAATCAATGGTTTTCGAAACTATTATTTCCAGTGGCTGAAACACATGGCAGCAGAAGAAACTCCGCACCCTTGGGCAAAATACAGAATTCCTAAGGACGTGTCAAAGAAAGATAATGCCAAAGATGCGGGAAATGAGAGCAGCCAGTTGAGACAGTAGGAGAATAAAAAAGATGGATACTCCGCACTGATTACACCGTCATTTGTATTTCCTAGTTAACCACTGTCAAGTTTAGCACTAATGCCCCAAATGTGTTCATAACTCATGGGAAGGACCCTGTCGGCTGCCCCATGAGGCATCTGGAGGGCCTATTAAAAATCTCAGCACTGTGGTAAATGTAGGACATGGTTTTCTAGGGTGAGGGGCATTAACAAAGCAGCAGTTCCGTAAGCTGGTGGTTGGACCAGTGAGCAATCTACATTAATACTTGAAGCTGTGCTTCAAAGGCAATTGAAGCAACTGTTGGTTCTCTGCTTTCTTGTGTCCTCTATGCAGTGAATTACCCAGCTTTTTCAGCTCATCAGCTACTTAAGGTGATGATGACCAGTCCAGCAATATTTACGTCCCATGATAATCTGTTACGTCCTCCCTTTGCAGGTACCCAGATTTTTCAAGGTATTATCTACGAGGGAATAAAATCTTTTTTAAAAATGATCTGAAAGGCTCAGAACAATGCCCCTTCATCGGCTGAAGTAGGCAAGACTTTATTTGAAAATAAAATGGTTAGACAGGACGTTACTACGCACGACTGCATTTACAATTCAATATTTCTGCATTGTGAGGTGTGAAGGAGATCCGCTCATGGCAGGATTGTTATGAAAGAGAAGTCACAGCTCCCTTGAATAGTCTCTGATGCCACATGAGCCATTTAGGAATTTCTCAGAAGGGTAGCGTTGCTTGAAGAAAGTTCTTCATCCAGAGCATCCTCGGCAGCCACAGTGAGTGCACTCAATTATTCTCCCCTGTGAAATGAAGCCAGCGTGTTAGTCTGAAGAGGTCTGAGGTGCCCAGTAAAACACTACAACCAAGATAAGAAGTCTTGCTGGTTTGGGGTGGGGGTGAAGACCCGTGTCATTACAGATTTGTCTTCTGCTGGCCTATTGTACTGGAAGCCGGCTGGATAGCTCAATGGTTTAGATAGCTGGCCGTGAAGCCAAAAGTTGGGAGTTTGATTGCCCACTCTGCCTCCTGGGAGAACAGCCAGCCTGGGTAGCCTGGGCAAGCTGCACAGTCCCAGGATGACACCAGAAGAAGGGACGGGGAAACCAGTTCTGAATATTCGCTGCTTGGAAAAGCCTGAAAAGGGTCAGAATTTACTTGACAGCACATTGTTATTGTTGTTGTAGAAGAAATAACTACAGAAGAAACATGTTTTAAGAAATTGTCAGGGGACCCTGTTGAAAGCAAGGGCAGTCTTTTATCACCTGTATTGCTCTTAAGATAGGAGTTGCAGTCCAAAACTCCTGAGTAACCCAAGGTTAAGAACCAGTGTTGTAGAAGAAATAACTACAGAAGAAACATGTTTTAAGAAATTGTCAGGGGACCCTGTTGAAAGCAAGGGCAGTCTTTTATCAGCTCTATTGCTCTTAAGATAGTCTTACCAAATAAGACATTCTTTGAAAAACCTAGAAACAAGATACAACATCCTACAAGCCAGCATTGTTCTTTTCCTTACACAACAGTTTGGTTCCCACAGAACCCTTTAAAGTAAAGCACAGACCCTGAACCTATCAGTTCTGGCTACCTATAAAGAAACCTGAACCTATCAGGTATGTACGAACTGACCCACAGTTGTACTCAGTCTGACACACAGACTCCCACTCCAGCTTCTCACATCAGCTCCAAATATTTATACAGTACAGCTCCTCCCCCTGATGTCCCGCCTTCCACTCCCCATAGGATGGAACTTTCCCTCCAAACCCATGACAGACAGGTACCATCAGTGCTGTATGTTACACTTACCAAATAAGATATTCTTTGAAAAACCTAGAAACAAGATACGACATCCTACAAGCCAACACTGTTCTTTTAATTTCCTTACACTTGACATTTTCCAATGTCCTGCTTGCCACATGACATTTTCCAATGTCACATGGCAAGCAAGATTAGATAGCTAGAAAACTGCAAGAGCAAAAGATGACTTCTTTTAAAAGGGCCAACTTACCACTTCCAGCTTGCTCTTGGGCACCCGGCAAATGCAGTTGGTTCCAAAGTTAGTATCTCGAGTCTGGATGCAGCGCAAACAGCAGAGGTTTTCATACCCTTGTTTCTTCCACTTTGCAATTAAGTTTTTGTCTGCATAGCCTTCTTTGATGCAGTAATCGTACAACTCTGTGCAGAAAAGACATGAGGTGGTATGCTTATTGACAGCAGAGAGGGTTGGCAGTGTCACTCCTTACTACCACTCAGAACTGAAATCATGGGTTTTCACTTTCTTCCACAGAAACAGATGTATACACTTTTTCCAACCCCTGAGAATAATCCTTTCGCTAAGAAGACCACGTCACTCCTTACTACCACTCAGAACTGAAACCATGGGTACTCATTTCACTTTCTTTCACAGAAACAGATGTATACACTCTTTTTCCAACCCTAACAAGAATCCTTTCGCTAAGAAGACCATTGTCTTACCTCTGCTAATGGCTTTCCTCTTATAGAAAAGATCAAAAATGTAGCGTGTTTTCTGATGATGTATTCTGAAGATGGGCCAGAGAGACTCCACCTTCCTCTTCCCTTCATGAGGTTCAGTCTCAGCTGAATTGGAAAAAAAAGCGAGGGGAGAGATGTTACCTTGATAGCTCAGTCATTATCTCTGTTATAATCATTGCATCTGCATTATACCTCTTGTTATTCCATCATGCTGTATGCAAGGGAGAAACCCCCTAAATTGAGTAAAATGATGCAAGTTTATTTAGTCTTTTAATCAGTATATTCTTGCAGGCTGAACAAAGAATGTTTTCAGCCATCACATTTGCCTTGCAACGGTAGCCTTATTTATGTGCTAAACGAAATTATTAATCTTAACCCGTCAACCGAGGGAGGAGGCAATGCTTGCTCCCTTTATCCTCACTCTTGTCACACACAGAAAGCTAAACATGGAGAAACTTGGCTTCTTTCTGTGCGGGTTCACAGAATCAGAAATCCTTTAAAAACATATGGAGCTTCTAAACATATGGAGATAATCTGCACATGCAGTTTACTCTTCAGATTAAACTACACACCTGAGATTTAAAATTTTGCTCACAGATTATGACAGACCCTTTTACTGATTGCATACGCCTCCCCAGAACAAACACGAGGGAAGCCTTACCTAAGCAGATGTCAGAATGGCCAGCCAGAAATGGGTGGTAAAACTCACAAGCAGAACATGATCAGAACAGTAACCAACTCCTAAGGGATTTGAGCAGCAGCTATTCAAAGGTTTACTAACTCTGACAGATGGCTCTCATTCACGATGACCAGTGACTTATAATATTAACCTTTGTAAATTACCCTCGGTACACGCATTGGCTCATCTAGACTAGTATGATGACCTGCAGCAACTTTCCAGAGTCTGAGACAGAAGTTTTCCATCCATAATACACTTTTATTGGAAATGTCAGACTGAACTTACAACCTGTACTCAATGTGTTCTACTGTCATATAATAGCCTCCTCCCACAATGAAATAACCAGTGAGACAGGGTTTAAATTCCTATTCCCCTACTGTTTCATTACATAATTAATTATAAAACCTAACCCTAAGTGAACACTGCTTTGCTACTCACCCTCTCTCATTTTTTGATCCAGCTCATCTAAAGTTGGTTCAATCAACTCCCAACCATCTGGGGGAGGTTTTCTGCTCCTCTTCACTTTGGGCATCGTCTCGGGGAAGAAAGGGGATCTGAAAAACAAACAAAAATAGGTCAGTAGTCAGTTATGGGCTGACACACACTAAGAATAATGTTTAACCCTTTGGGGGGGAAAGATAGCTCAATTTGCAATAATTGGCATGACCCACATTTTTACGCTGGGTGTGTCAGCAATCCAAATGTCCATAGGACTTACACTGAAGAAGAGTGGTGGTGATATACATTCATTACCAAAATTGCACACAAACCAAAGATGTACACAGAGTCTCCTTTTAGTGCCGATAAGGGTATCATGAAATGGGTGGCAAAATGATTTGTTGAAGAAGAGAACAAAAATAACATCTCTTATTGGCGTGGGAAAAGCAACAAGCTAAACCAACCTTTAAATCACACATTTATTAGCACTGCACGGGCACCAACCTACACCCCACGGATCTTATCTGAATATATCAAGATAAAGACCTCCAAGCAGGTGCAAGTTGGGGTCCATCAACCTCTGGACAGCAAGTTACTGGTTGCCTGCCTCAGTTGTATATTTACTATTGGAGCAAGTGGCACAGATAGCTGCTTCATTAGGTGCCTCTGGAGTCATTTTTATCTTGACATTTTCATTTGAATTCTATCTTATTTCATTTCATGATTTGTTTGCTGTTGATTTTAGCTTCTTAGCCGCCCAGAGTAATGCCCTGCGCTAATGGGGCAGTCTATAAAAGAAACTGTTGGATAGCCCAGTGGTTTAGGTCTTTGGGGGTTGGGAGTTCGATCTCCCCCGCTGCGCTTCCCTTACCAGGGGCTGGACGTGAGGATCCATTGGGTCCCATCCAGCTCTGCAGTTCTCAGATTATTATTAAATAAAAATCATGAACAAAATCCTCCCTCTGTATCCCCAAGACGTTGGCTGTATGCAGTTTAAAGGTTGGCTGCTTCTAGAGAGCCGGTGCTTTGTCCCCTGCCTGAAGGGCCCAAAATCAGGCAGAGGAGACCCTTCCCGCCCTCACATCGTACACTCCGTGGAGGAATCTCTTCCTACCCCGCAATTAGGAAAGAAAAAAAGGCGGGGGAAAGGACTACCACGGATCCCTGATCAAACTATCTAGCGCCCCGCCTTAACAAAGGGTTGCCTTTCGCCCCCCTCTCGAGAAATCCCCCCAGTTCCCCCAGTAAGGAAAGACTGTGACCTGCTGGGAGACGCTTGTTGTTAACCCTCCCAGCTCTCTTCCGCCTCTTCGCAGCCTCCCGTCGCCTCCCGATGACCTCACCGACACCAGGCAGGCCCTTCTTCCCTCGCGCGTCGCTCCCAAGGGCCCTTCACTCGGCACCTCTGTCGTCGCCGCTGCCTGTCACAAACGGACGGCTTACCTGGGGTCTGAGGAGGGCTAGAAATCCCATAGAAGTGCCCCAAGGGACACACAAGCGAACTCACACTCCTCCTGCCTACTCAGTTAGGGAAAAAAATACTGGAAGTTTTTTTTCCTCTTTTTCATCAGGCAATGCTGTAGCCAGCTAAATAGCTCCAACCTGACCGTGGCAGCATGTCTCCCGGAGAGAGGGCGGGCCGGCTCGCTCACGCATGCGCACCGGGCCGGAGCCGCGGCGAAGGCGAGCTAGAGCAGGCCGGTGCTCGCTTCCGCTTCCGGGT